AGCAGCAGCAGCAGCAGCAGCAGCAGCAGCAGCAGCAGCAGTAGTAGCAGAGCAGCAGCAGCAGTAGCAGTATGCTGCTGGGTGTATTGTCTTGGCAGCTGTTCAATAATCTACCTATAAACACACCATGCCACCATGCACCATGCTGGTACTCTGGTACTGGCGTGAGTGATATGGCATGCTGATATGAGAAACTGTCTCCGTGTATGCAAGGTTTTTGTCAGATATTTCTCAGAAACATTGACAGAATCAGTAGTGTGTTTTTAAGTTCAAGTCTATAACATACAGGCAGATATTAAAAAGGTGACAGTTCCACCCCCACTCGTTAACATGTGCGTGTCAGACTCACGTTACTAAGTTAATCCCAGCATTGACAATCTGCCATCTTTACAGTGTCAAGGAACATCAATACCAGCTTTATGTAACATTTACGAGACGTTATAAATTTGGCTGCAGAAAATTGCTGAAGTTTTCGCGCAGTTAGCCGTACAGCTACAGTTGTTTTTCACGTTGTTAATGTGTTACGTTAGCTGTTGCCTGCTTGCAAACGGCGACATATTTGATGGGAGTTTGGTGAAAATAGATGAAAATTAAATCATTTATAGATGTTATTACGTTGACGTTACGATAATTTGTTATCTTGCAGACGGCTTCACAGACGCGTCGATCAGCAAGTACAATGGTGAGATTCGTGAGAAGGAGCTGCAGGCGTGGGAGCCGGACCACGACGTGCACGACTGCCTCATGCCCCTCGAGTCCGACACCTCGGTGAGTCTGCCACCGCGCGCCGCCGTCACAGCGAAACCCAGCGCGCGCGAGTCAACCATTCACCCAAGTAAGGTATCCACGCCTGGCTTGAATACTGTTGCTAGGTCGGTCAAGTTATTCGGCCAGTATGCAAGAGTTTTTGCTCATCTGACATAGTCGGATGCAGCTTGGAGAATCGCATGATCGACCGTGCGTGCGTGCGTCCGTCCGTCAACAGTTGGGCACAAATCTAAACGACTCGACGTACGGATTCGAAAGTTGGGACGTGGGGGGGGGATCCGAAAACGAGTTGGGATGACGAAGCTGGGGGTCAAAGGTCAAAGGTCAAGAGGTGTAAAAGAAGGGGGAACATTCACTCCTTAACTTGTAATGTACTTTCTGCTGGCATGCGAAGAGTAAGTGTCGGATATCCTTTTGACCCTCAAGAGGAGGGTTAAACATGGATTTGTTTACTGTTAGAAAGAATTTGATTGCCGGGTTTGCTAGTAGAATCTATACATGCCTAGATGTATGAGGCTACAATGTCACAGTGAAATTTCAAAAGCTAAATTTGGTTGAAGAAGGTTTATGCTCCTTAAATCGTATAATTTCTATGGCATTCTGTACTGTCAGTGGGTTACATGTAACCAGGAGTAGATAATAGGGAAGGAGTGTGACTTCAATAAACAAGGAAAATTCGTCATTTACTAGCCTTATAATACCTACGATTTACTACGCGTAACTCATCCAACTTGAGCTCAAATCGTACACAGTACATTCGTCTAGCATCGTGCGAAATCGTTTCCTCGTATACACCCGCAATCCGGAGATACAGACTAAAACGTACGACACGGTTTTCCATTCTGTTGCTAGCAAACTCGATGCGTTCGGAGCCTTATTTGAAACAAAAGGCAGCTACTAATAAAACATAAATCTGGGCATCACTTCATGACATATACCTAAAATGGATTTGCACCGCCTACCGGACCACTGGCAGCAGGATCAAGACTGCCCGCCACGCTCACACTACAGCATGTATATTATATATATATACATGTATACCAACACATATATAACACCATGGTGTCTACCTCACCACCGAGCTTTGTCCAACTCGGCGTTTTCAATCAGCTTCAACTCTGGTGTTCCTGTAGGTGATGCTACTTTCTTTGTGAGCGTGGTGGGGGCTAACTTGATCCTGTTGCCAGTTTACCGGACTAGTTGAGTTGTTGTTGCAAACTATACCGTTAATTCCGAACCAGTGAAAAAAATACACGGGGGCTCAGGGCGATTGCCCCCAAAATGCCAAAAAGAGCCCCGTAAATTTGCATAGAGTTCAATGCAAACCAAATTTAAGAGTGCTATTTTCATGCACGCGAGCTTCTTTTTTTTTCCCGTTTCGAACCCTGCAGTAAAGCTTCTGGAAGATCTAGTACTATACTTGACCTTGATAAATGATGGTACATAAAAAATTTCATTGCTTAATATCCATCAGAAATATTTTTTAAACGTTTTAAAACTAATGGTTGCCCAATTGCCCGGGACAAGTGAGTCTATGTCGGACAAGTTATTCTAGATCTCTTGGCTAATTGCCCGATCGGACAACTGAAAATTTTTAGTCATTGAATATTCCTATAACATCCTTTGACCATAACGGCTCATAGATTGCATAGAATGTGTAATGGTAAAAGTTAGTGGGTGACACGTACAGGTGTCGCGGGCTGCTGTTTTCGGC